TATCAAAGTTAAAACAAGACCAAGATGAGTCAAGAAGAAAAGTCAGAGTTGCTTGAACAAATTTTGTTTGCCTGAACGATGGACGAAAAATACAGTTGGCTTCTTATAGACTGCACGGATTGGGGACGGCACAGCTCCATACACATTTGAAGCCGCTTATCATTCGCATATCCATGACCCATTACACGCACCATGACGTTTTGGTGATGAAGATGATTGCTTGGATGACTCGGATTACTCGGATGATGACTTGGATGATGATGATGATGATGATGATGATGATGATGGTAGTGATGAACCTACCGGGAAAGACAATGATGCAAAAGCCAACGGACTCTGATTGGATTTGAACAAGGAACCTCTCAACCGATATCTAGGTAACCTGAGCTGCCATTAAGCCTCACCCAAATCCCTTCAAACAAAAAAGAATCAACCTGTAAAAGCCTTTTGACTCTGGAGTGGATCAGAGATTAATCACAAAATGCTTGAGAGGTTTTTTCCTTGAATGGGCCTCGTCTGAAAATAGTTATTCATATTTTCAGAGGAAAGCAGACTGCTTTTCTGAACGTGACAACAGTATGTCAGGTAGTACCAAACGTTACCATCAGAACAACTTGCGGTTTACGTATTCGAATCCCATCACCGGTGTCTATCTGCTTTTCATATTTGCATCACCGGGAAGCCATTAACTAACTCAGGAAATCCCACTAAAACTTAACCCTTTGTTAAACACAGACTGAAAGAAACTAGGAAGTAGATACTTCATAGTTTCGTGAAATTATTTCCAACTATCGTTGGGCTCCCTGTTGTTACAAAATGGTACATTTTAAACACCTATTTGTAGCCACGCGCACTCACGTTCATTTGAGTGGAGTTTGTAGTTTCAGTTGTTGATTAGCAAACCATTTGATCACAATGTGACACCTGAGCTACGGAGCAATGACAAATTCTCTCAAATGGGATTTACCCATCAAAAGTCTCGATTAGTACCAATTTCACAACTTCATTATTATCCACTGTCCAACATCAAAGCTTCCGTGTCCACTTTATTTCCGACCAAGGAAGGTGATTCACGCGGCAAGTCTGCAACCGACAGTCACGCAATTTGTTGGCAGCCGAATAAATCTTGTGTCCTCATCTTCGCCGCCCCCCACCCCTCCCCCGGTGTCCCCTTCCTTTCAGTTTACCCCGGGGGCAACAAAAGGAAGATGAGAAAAACAACAAAACAAATGAAAGCGGCATGCGTGATATTGTTATTTCACAAAGTTCATTTACATTTGTTTCAAAATTTTAGTTCCCTCGAATGAATTGTTTTTACTATCTTAAATAATCATCGGTCCCGTATCGCCGTGTGTGATGTATTTCACTGAAGGAAAGGGGACCAATTCAAGTCCAGTATTCAATTGTCGCTTTCTGACTCAATTATTCAACCCCTCCGCCCACCCAATCCCCTTCACCCTCATCGCATAACCTGGTCCCGACCCCGCCTAACATGGTAAGCACGTTAATTTTTATCAGGTGTGATTGGTTGATCGGTTTATTGTGTCAGTGTAAAATAGCTCTTGGACTTATGCTTTAACACGCGCTCTGTCTCTCAGCGTTGTCCACTGGTCGCACACTCTTGATGCGTGTGTGTGTTTGTGTGACATGACGTTTTTGCTCCAAATGAGTGGGCGAACTGATCGACTACGCACAGGAGTCACAGCCAGATTTGGTCAGAAGTTGATGGCTAACGGGGGAAATGTTACTCTAGTTCGGGGTTGGCTAATTGGTTTTTACACATTTGCAGCTGGAGTGAAATCTGCAAAGTGTCTAACTGAAATCGATTGTCACTAATATCCCGTCCCCCCGCCCCACCCACCCATACTGATCTTCCAAAACGTCCTACCAATAGATCTGTATTATCATTATGACAACGAGATCCAGTAGTGGGGTGTATAGGGAAATAGGATCGCTTAACACTGGAAATAAATTGGTGCATTGTCTTTACGGGTTCCATTAGTGTAACAGGAATTTAGCCTTGGATCTATCGTTCACACGCACACACACACACAGACACAGCGCGTGCCATCCACACCTAATCCCGTTCATTTACGTATAAAGCATGATGATACTAGACAAAGCTTTCAATCCCAATCTAAAATCCACAAAAAACCTAGACCAACGAGGTTGACATCGCCAAACATGCCGTACACGAGGCAGTCTGTTTTTCACCATACACTTATGTGCACTACTACGTTTGAGTGAGTTCTGGAAATCGTTGTTTAGTTATGAGTTTATACGTCCGTGTGTTGTTTATTCCAGGTTCAGTNCACTGTGGTCCACAATATATCCCAGTGGGAATTCGGGATGTAGTGGTTTGAGGGGGGGGGGAGTAGGTGAGTAGATTAAAGGCTGAAACCCAAATATGTTCTATCTCCGACATCATCAATCGAGCATGTGCCTGACACATTCATACCATATGCACCGATTGACGTGGCACGTCAACGGCTGCGCAAAAGTGCCCGAACTAGGTAAGCCCGGTGGTCCAAGGTCACTGAGGTGTGAATCTCGAAAGCACGGTGGTGGTGCATGAACACGTAAGTTCAGTGTGGCAGAACAATATGAGTTGTTGACAGTGAATTACTATTGTTTCCCTGCTTATGTCAATCACTTGATTTTCGGGGTCGAATAAATTTATCCTTACCAGTAAGATTATATTCCCTGTAGACCAGACCATGAGACCCAACTTCAAGCAGGCTGATTTACCTGATACAAAAATTTATTATTTGCCCAGGTACAGAATTTAGACTGCGAATGCTTATCGCTCGGCGTCGAGAGAAATGGGCAAACAGAAAACAACTTCGATGACCTGTTACAAATGACCGATAGGCCGACCGACCGACCGACCGACCGACCGGCTAACCGACCGGTAGACTGACCTGCCTACTGGTTCTTTTCATCGGTGTTTGTTTATCCCATGGGACAGGAAATCCGGCGTGCTTTCATGAAAAGTTTTGTTATCATATACAGCGCAGTATTGTGAATAAGTGGAATTATTACCAATGGTGTTGACTGTTTGAAGTTTCCGGTCTCCTCGGTGACTGATTAACAACAAATGATGCCAACGGAAAATCTAATAATGAATTTGATTACATCTGTGACGAAAAAACCAGGTAGAGATAACTCCTCCGTATGGTGCCCTTGTTCTAACGGTATGATTTTAGTTCTCTCCCGATGACATCACTTAGGATGTATTCCATCTCTTATTCCAAAACCTTGTGGATGCAGCACCCCATCCAAAGGTTTCCAATTCTTCTAGCATTAAATTTAATGTAATTGGCACAACATGCCATTCGCAAACGTTTGTCTGCTTCTTTCGGTACCCTCAAAGACCCTCTCCAGTTTGATCATAAGTCAAACAGTTCCACTTAGGACGCTGTCGCCTCCCTTGTTCATTATGTTACGCATCAACCAATTCTGTAAGATACTTCCTTGAACCTTTTATCGGCTTTCGATACTGTTCAACTTTTCTTCTCATTCGTAAAATGCAACCACACACCGAATTCAGCAAACTTGGTTGGGTACGAAAACATCTAAACCGCTCGTAAACAATTTTTTAGCGCTACAGACAGCGGCACTATCTCTTGCCTTCCATCTACATGAACAAGTTCTCCAGCCCGATTATTTAAATACGCTGACGACAGTCTTTTGCCAAGCTCCTTCTGTGCCTGAAGACCTTCTAAATTTCCCCAGCAAGTTATCGCATACCTATGAATTTCCCGCTTGTTCCGGACTGTCTCTTAATTTATCCAGGTGCTTCAAATGCCCTTTTACTCTCTCTCGTTCTGTTTATCCCTGTGACCTCTTGGTCATAAACACCAATCCTTCAACAATATATGTATATGTTTAGTTGAAGTATTTAGGAGTTACAATTGACAAAAGCTTAAAGTAGTCACCAATATCTACAAATGTGTAAAGAAACTTCGTGGATTATCTTTTCAACTTCTAAGACTTAGACAGTTCAATCCCAGACAAAAATCATTTCACTTTTTGTTTATCAATGTGCTTTTCCTGTTCTTTATTGTTCCCCTGTGTTTTTTTGCTAGGCTACTTAAGAGACTCCAAAATCCTTCGTCGTGGTTTGTCGATTATCAGTCGTGTCTATTTATACCCGTTGATGATCTACAGTACTGGCCGATTGTGATGTTCTAAGATATTTTCTTTATGATCAAAGGGAGTTTCATTATATTTATCACCTATATTAATGCTTTAGGTATGGAAAATAATTTATATCTTGTCTACTTCGATGTACGTAGTTTCTGGGCTGCATGATTGTCAATTAAACGTGCCTGACTTTGGTTGGAAAGATTAAATAATCTCAACATGAAAATCGCAAACTGTATCAAGTATGACAACGCAATACTTTCTAATAAGAATGACTCAAGGATTATCCAAAATTATTTCCGTCAACCCTTGTCATTTCCCTTATTTGTAATGAGGCATTATTTTATCTAATGTATAATCCATTATAGCAACGATATTGGATAACCAAATGAAATTCTTTCACAACCCAGAGAAATTGCATTAAATAAGGTTTCATAATAATAATCTATGTTTGATATCTAACTCAATCAATTCGAGAAATACCACCTCAATCAAAGACAACCTTGAAATCAAGGTCATTTTTGTGCACAGCTTTGAATGTTCGTATTATTGTCACCATAATGAAGCAAGCAGCGCTTGAAACCAAAAGTTCCCGTTATCTCAGTGAAAAGGACAGAAACAGAATTGCACGGGCACACAACCTGGGATTTTCCATATCACATCTTGCCTAATGCTTTAACATTAACAAAAGCACAATTAACAGGATAATCCATGGGAAAACAACAACCCGAAAAGCTTGTGTGGGCCGTAAATCGAGCACATCCAAACAGGAGGACGACCTGATTCGTATTACTCTGCAAAAACATTGCAGAACCGACAAGTGTTTCACAGGAACCTGTTGCTTCAGTTTCGATTAGACCTGTATGTAAAACCCGGCGTGAACTTCATTTGTCCACATATAAAACATTTACAAAAGTCTCTTATCCGATCCCACTCATTCTTTACATGGCGATCTATCCGAATACCACTCACATTCATCTATGCGTTCTGAACATCGTTGTTACCCTCTTGCAGAAATGCTACGGTTCCTTATTTCGCTAGAATCCTTGCAAACCGACAGTGAGTTTCTTCTGAATTTCTGAGAAATCTTGGAGGTCAAATGTTTTACTTGTGTCATTTCCTTCTTCCGATGAGATGTATCATCTCTGACCGAAATACGGACATCTGTCCATGCAAGAGGTTTATACAAATACAAATACAAACCCATACATTAATGCCACCGGTCTTACCTTACGTTGGCTCTTCGGTCAATTTGAATGTGGATGTAGAGAAGTCCACGTCCGGAGAAAGCGGATACAGTTACGCAACTGAGCAGTCGAAGCTGTTCCGAACCGGGTCCGGTGAAAGATCGGGCCAGTGACTATAACGCAATCACGAGTAAACAGGGATCAAACACAAAGAATTATTGCCTCGTCGTATTAACGAGCGTTTTGAATAGAACACAGTGTAGTGAATCTCTTAAAACGAGTCTTGTTTGCTAGATTGTGTTCTATTCGATATTATTGGTTACAATAAAAACAATATTCAGAAGGAGGAAATAGTTAATGAAAAGAGTGCTATGTGATACATCAAAATAGGGTAAGTTAGGTGGCAGTGGTAAGACGCGAACACGTCCTCCAGGGCGATAAATTGGTGGCCTTAGCTGCTAGACCAGCACTCTTCCTCATGAGAACCATAAACGACCAGCGATCAGTCGCCAGCACCAACTAACTAATCCAAAGAGCTAGTTTCTAGTATGTTTGTCCTCGACCATGAAAATGGCGAGCATTATCACCTAAACGCTTTTCTTTTTTGTTTCCAACTAGTTCCGGTATTCATTGTGTCATTCTATGGATAGCGTTTTATTTGATAATAGGATCGATTACTTCCCGTCTGGTGTCGTAACCTAAATTAAAGAGATACCATTATAATGAAAAATTAGGTAAGACAGGTTTGACTGTTTTGGTACTCTCCATAAGCTGAGTACAACATCTGAGAAAAAGTGAATTGATCAATTCCTGTCAGCCTTTGTGTGAGTTGGTTGGCGCAGCGGTAATACGCACGCAACGTCCGTTTGATGGGTCCGGTGTTTCAAGCGTGAACGGAACGGTTAAGATGCAATACTGATGGACTCTAGTGCGGGCCAAACTCGAGTCTCGTACTTCCCGAGTGTACGGCTGACTGGATGAACTGAGTATTGTGCATGAAGATGGGTTCTGAACAATTAGTAGTTCAAATCGACAAAAAGTATGAATTAGAAAATTTCTTCGTTCACTGAACAAATCAAGCGTAACTGAGAACCTGGGAAGCACTGTACAGCTGTTTCTGTCTGATTGAATTTCAGCAGCAGTTCGAATCCATTGTCCCAACTGAGGATCTAACCCGAGATCTCACAGATAGAAAGCTGGCATACTACCCACCTAACCCCCGGGCAGCAGAGTAGACCGCTTTCTTTTTGTTTTCGAATAGAAGTACATATGCTTGTATACCGGTAGGTGACAGATTACCTACAATGGGCTATCAGATTTGAAGATAGCTGGCGATTTGTTGAATATCTTAAACACCCATGTTCATGCATATACTCACTCTCCTGTCACATAAGATTTCCTTTCGTAACTTGCGCCCTTTCCTGGTTCTAAGATGTTGTGGCCTCACTTTGTCCCAATTGTTCCTTCCTCATTTGAGTAAATGGAATGCCACGCATCACTGACCGAAACTGGAACATAGATGAACGAGTTTATTGGTTGCACAAGTAAAAAACTGTTTCTTGTCTTGTCCATGTCGATTATTTTACTGCTGGAATTTCTTTATTATAACATGGAATGTTTCCAACCGAGTCAGCCCGGAAGCTAGTGCAGAGATGAGCTAGGTGTGACAGACGTAAAAAGCTTGCAAAGATGGGGTATGTTATATGGTGTATAGTAAAAATAAAAAATGGTTTGATCAGCTGCCTGGGGGTCAAATGTGTAGAGTAATTGCGTTCCGTACCTCTCCGTTTTTATTTAACTTCTTTATGGATTTGATGATTGGAACAGCTCTGTCCTCTTGTGAGAATAGTCTCATCGATTTGCTCTCAGATGTCAGATTGCTCGATGTTGAATACACTGACGACAATATACTTCTGAGTGAAAACCCGGGCACCCATGTGGAAGGCTCGGTTGTCATTCACCAAATTAAAAATCTGTGGTGTCTCCTTAGCTTCCGGATGATTATGAAGGATCGGGTGTGCACTTTGGCCAGTGTTGCTTTACGGTGCAGAGCATTAGTCATTACGAAAGATACACTGTTGGCGTTTGAGCACCGCCATCTTCATCAAATTGCACGAGTGTGGTGGGCAGGTGGACATGCAACGCCGAGATCGGGCGTAGATTTTTAGGTAACCGCGGTT